CTCTGGGGTTGCGTGTGTCCCATTTGATGGAAAAACAGAATGTTCGCACTGCACCTATCAACCAAGCGCACTGCATGCGTTAGCACGAGGCCGAGCAGGGGGTGGGGAGGGGAGTCATGACCCCCCTCCCCATCCCCCTGCGAGGCCGAGCCTAGAACGAGCCGCATGCGTAGGCAAGTCAGTCACACCTCATCGCCCCCTGTCTATCTTAGGAGTGTGGCTCTAGGGTTGTGTGCGTCCCATTTGATGGAAAAACGGAATGTCTGGGGCCTGGTTGCAGCTGGGTGATCAATTTTTTTCCTTATCTGAAGCATTTTTTCTTTTTGGATGATATATATTTTCGTGGTAGTACAAATGATGCCATTTGTATTGCTTGCACAAACGTTGAGTACTGCACTATGTGTAGCAAGTCTGTGTGTTGGGCACCGCATGAAAGTTGCTGCGGCCCTTGTCGTTCTACATTTATGCATGTACTGCACTTCATGTATACACTTCGTGAACTGCCTTATATTTGTTCTGTGAACTGTATTCACGTTTGTTTAGAATGGTCTGCGGATTATATATTTTTAGAAATATTAATATTAATGTTTCTTTTTCTATAATTACTATTTGTGGACTGCATGTGAACACATGTGCACTCCTTTTTTTACCATTGTGAACTGCATTAATCTTTTCTTTTTTATGTATGAGTTTGTAGTCAGATTACCTAATTTTTTTGTTTAATGTTGTTTTTGAATAAGTTTTCTATGTGAATAGTATGTTTTGGTATCACACATTAATTTTTTCAAAGTTGTCTAGATACTTGTTCTAATACAAACTAATTTCTGCGAAAGCAATTGATCACAAGCAAACTGACATTGTTTTTACAAAAGAAATGTTCGATATGAAGCAACGGACATCATCAAAAGTTTGCATACATGAAACAAAGAACAACACAATGACTAAAGTAAAGTGAAACTAAACATAGCCCTGATTTTTTGTAGTTGCTGTATTGGATTACAGCCTTGTTCTTCTTCTTCTTTGCTTATTTGTCTCTTTTTGCCCTGTCCAGTCCCATTATGACATCATAGATGATTCTCCATGACTCATATGTTGCGAATACATCTTTTGCTACATACTTGATAAGATTTTCTAGCAACGGGAAAAATCCCCACAGAGTATGGTCCTCCTTGCGGTTATTTTTTTCTTCATGTCATGGTAGTGATGCCTATCAATCGGCCGGCAACATCAGCCAAAGAGTCAAACTTCTTTTTATTGTATGGGTCTCTCCATTCCACCTGAATATCAATATAGTTGTCGGAGTTGATCTCCAAACCAGATACCTTCAGCTTGCTTTTGTCTCCTTCAATAGCGAATCTGACGAAGGTGTACTCATCATTCATGAGGAATTTGTCTAGTTCCATTGGCCTACAATATGTTTGTATAGAGTGAATATAGTTTATTTCTTAAAACTACCAATGTTTTTTTGTTTTTTCTAAAACTGAACTGCAATATGAATATCTGAATTCGTTGCATTGAGTAGTTGATAATACTTTGTTCAACATAACTAGTAAATCTGATAATAGATTGCATAAACAATGCATGTTTTGTGTATGCTTGTATTCTTGAACCTAATTTCATACATGTTTTGTATGGTAATGTTGCAGTTTTCTATTGTTCAGCCAAATAATTATATTTGGTAAAACAGAATTAAACTGCGTGTATTGCTAGATCATATAATTCAAGAATTGAACACATGAGTGACATACATGGAGCCAGATGAAAACTGTCAATGAATCCATATGCCATGCTTTTCAAAAATGAGAACCGAAGTTTAAATATTTGGCAATTGCAGTGAAGAAAATTTAAAATCAACATTGACAAGCAATAGTACAGATTGATAGTTATTCTTACCTGTCATTAGCTGCAGCGATGTGGTAGACAAGGCATTCTTTTTCTATGCATAGCTGAAGCACTGCTGCCCGCTGTGGCTTCATGTAGTGCGTGTACTCGACATCAATGCCGACTAGTTTGACGGGCATTCCGCCGAGCTTCCTCCTAAACATGGACAACATCTTGTCCACGTCTTTACCGTTGCTTGTGCAAAGGACGTGGAGCTTGTGATTGCCGTGGAGGTGGATGTCGTGGAGCTCCTTGGTGTACTTGCGGCGCTGCTTGTACAGAGGTGCATCCGCCATGACTCTCCTCTGCTCTCTCGTGTTTGTTCTAGAGAGAGAGGTTAGTGAAAGGAAGTGTGGAGAAGAAGATGCAATGGGGCTTTTGGGGGGATGAAGCAGTTGTGTTTTCTCCTCTGCTCGCCTTGACAGGACGTGGGAGAGGTGGAGCGGGGCGGTAGCATGGTGGGGCTCTGTTTTAAGTTACGTGGCAACTGCAAAGAGGTTCTGCTATGAGGAGGCTCTATTAGTGCGTTGGAAATCCAGAACATCGTTGCCTCTTTTTTCGTGATTAGTTCAATGTATTGACGCAACTGTCAGAAAATGTGATGATTGTGTTCTCGGTGAATTGTCCAAGTCAGTGCACTTCTTTGCTATCAGAATAGAACTGCTCAGGTCCACATAGTGTACTGCATTATATCGGATTAGGATTCACACAGATGTACTTTCTTTTCTTCTCTTGATGAAGTTCTTTCTTTTCTTCTCTTGATTTTTGTGGTAATACAACTTTTGTGTGGATGGAGGGTAGTGTGGGTAGGGGTGTCGGACTGCTTTGCTTAAGTAACAGGGCTGCATTCTTCATTTTAGCCATACTGCATTGCAGAGTGAAGAGAACTGCAATTCAAAAAAAGAATACTTCGTGCTTCCACGTGGAGAACTGCATTGTTGTACGTCGCGGACTGCATTTGTACGTTGACTTCGGGCTTCCTATGTTTTATTTATTAATAGTTTCTGGCAGTGCCGACGCACATTTTTTTTGTTTGTTGTTATTCATTTAAAAAATGTTTCTCATTTTTCTTTTTGATGTTTTATTTTTGAACTTATTGTTTTTTCTTAGTGGGCCTTGTTGGCCCTGTGTTCGGATAGTGAAGACGCATTTGGGCCCAAGTCGGCCTGTGAGCACGGCTGGTTCCAGGTGCATTGTGTGCGGTCTAATGTTTAGTCTCACCTCGCCCACAGAAGGCGCGCCTGACATGTTTATAAGCGGCGGCGAGGCTGCTGTATCGAACTCCTCTTGTTACGTATTTGGGCGCTTATACACGGGGCTCGTTGGTCTATGCTCTCTGACCTGTGAGCCCAAGTGTGGCCTGCCCCATGCATTGTGACTCAGAACGACTCGCCTTCTGTGGGCGGAGACCTATTACGAGACTGGCTGGGGCCGGTAGCACCTCGATGGTCTTTTTTTTTCTTTGTATTTTTCTGTCTTAAGTATTTTTTTTAATGTCGAGGCGTGCACTGCATTGATCAGGGTTCTGTACTGCATGTGCACGCATTCCATACTGCATGTACAGTTCTCATTTTTTGTTTCCGTGTTTTTGCTATTATATAGTCTTTTTTCCAATGTATGGGAGTGCACTGCTTAGTAAATCATATGTGTACTTCATTGATTATGGTTCTGTACTTCATGTTCATATATTTCTGCATTGCATTGATTATTTACGTGTTTGCTTTTTTATTTTTGTGTTTTTGCTCTTATGTATTCTTTTTTTCAAATTTAGGTTCGTGCACTCCTTTGTTGGGTATGTTAAAACTTCGTTCGACAGAGTCTGTACTGCATTCATACACAATTTGCACTGCATGCGTCCTGTTTGCATTATGTACGATAATTTCATCACTAGCAAACTAAGTTGAACAGAAAGCAAACTAACATAATCAAAGTTCATCATTACAAGCGATTCTGCATGGCAAGCAAACTAAGTTCAGCACACAAGCACACTAACGATACATAAGCAAACAACATAGAGCAAATTTGATGATAATTCTAAAACGAAGCTGGCATTGTTGGCTCTTGGCCGGCACCATCTTCTTCTTCACCAGTTAGGCTCTTCCCATCCCCAGCTGCTCCTGGCGCGCTTCTTGGGGGCCTCCTCCTTCTCCAGCTTTGCACGGCGAAGGTCGTCCTGGGTGAGGGTGATGCGGTTCCATATCTCGTATGCTCCATAGGCGTCCTTTGCCGCGTACTCGATGTGCCTCATGGACAGAGGCAGGGTGGCCCAGCGCTTGTGCTCGTTGTTGATCTTCTTCTTCATGTTGTTGTAGTAGTCGTCGATGAGCATGCCGGAGACGTCTCCAAGGGAGCCCAATGCCTTGGTTGCCTCGGGCACCCTCCACTCCTTCTGGATGTCGACAAAGTTGGCAACCTCTAGTTTGACGTGTTCTAGCCTGGTTTTGTCGCCGTCGATGGAGAAGCCTGCAAAGGTGTACCTGGGGTCGGCGAGGAAGTTGTCGAAGACGGTGCACCTTTCAGAGGCGCTCATTTGGAAGAGCAGCACCGGGTGATTCTTGCCGATGGAGAGCTGGCAGAGGCCGGGTTTCTGCGTCGCTTCAGGCTCGTTGTCGTACTCGAGATCAATGCCGACGATCTTGTGGCGCTAGAGGCTGAGGTGGCGCTCGTACTGCGCGAGGGAGATCGCCATCTGCTTCTTGTCGTTGGTGTGGATGACGTGCAACTTGGTGTTGCCGTGTGCCTCCACGGCCTTATCGCCCTTGTACTCGTCGGTGAACGTCATCACCGGTAGCAGGGCTTGGTGCTTTTGCGGTGATATGGAGCGATTTGGTGGCATGGCAATGGATACTTGTGTTGTTGTGGATGAGAAGGCCTTTGGCAAGGGTCGGAATTTAGGGCGCGGGGTGGGATGGCCATGTCAGATGAACTGCACGATCTCGCTGACGATGCAGTTGTGCAGATCGTGGGTTGGTGTTGCATCTGTGATCATGGGCTTGTGGCGATTGAACCGCTCCGATTGGGTGGTTGTATGCGAACATGTTTTTTTATTAACGTGGTTTTATTTTATTTTTGATCAGTAAATTTTTTTTAACCACCACTTTCTGTGCGAACGTGCATTTTGTTACGTTTATACATGCATCCTGCGTGATACTGAACTGCATTCATTATAGTTCTGCACTACATCTTCTACAATACAGAATTGCATTTGTGTCTACATGTGCGTACTTCACCGTTTTTTGCGTGTCCTTGGTGCAGCCCCTGAAAAAAGTACAATGTATTCCGCTATTTTACGAGTTTTCACTGTGTTCTATGCCGTGTATTTATTCATGTAGGTAATCGGGAACTGGATTGCCATACCGCACTGCATCGCGTAACGGAATGCACTGCATTTTTCTATCGCTACGTACTGCATCTTATTTTTGCATGTACTTACTGGAGTCCCTGGTACGGGAGGGGTAGGGGAAGGGGGGTTGCCCTCCCCCACACTTTTTTTTGAACTTATGGTTTTTCTTAGTCGGACTTGTTGGGCCTGTGTTCGGGTAGTGAATACGCATTTGGGCCCAAGTCGGCCTGTGAGCACGGCTGGTTCCCGGTTTGCTGTGTGTGCGTCCTAATGTTTAGTCCCACCTCGCCCGCGGAAGGTGCGCCCGACCTGTTTATAAGCGCTGGCGAGGCATACCGGTCGAACTCCTCTGGTTACTTATTTGGGCGCTTATACACGACGCTCGCAGCTATATGCTCTCTGACCTGTGAGCCCATGTGTGGACGGCCCCATGCATTGTGACTCAGAACGACACGCCTTCTGTGGGCGCAGACCTACTACGAGACTGGCTGGGGCCGGCTCACCTGGGTGGTCAATTTTTTTCCTTTGTATCTTTTTCAATGCTTGGGCGTGCACTGTTTTTTAGTAAATCATCCGTGCACTGCATTGATTTAGTTTCAGTACTGCATGTGCACGCATTCCGTACTGCACATGGTGTGCGCTACATTTTTGTGCACTGCATGGGTATCATTATTCTTTATTGTTTTTCCTCTTACGTATCCTTTTTTCTTAGTGTACGGGTGTGCACTGCTTTTGTGCCCCTATGCACACTGCATTCGTCATAGTCCTGTGCTACAGGTGTACACATTTTGCACTGCATGCATCCTTCTTTGTGCCAAAAAGTTGTGACTGGCTATGCCAACACTGCGGACTGCATGACTTACATTTAAGGATTACATCAGGTGTTGTAATTTCTACTTTGTGCACTGCATGAAAGTGCTTCTCTTTTGCTTCATTTTGAGCATGTACTGCACTTCATGCACACATATAGTGAACTTCCTGGTAGGAATTTGGAGAACTGCACACATAAAATGGTCTGTGGATTATAATTTTTTAGTGTATTATTATTTAATGATCTGCGGTTTTGTTCATGGGAATTGCTGCAGTCAAAGTACAGCTTCTTTTTTGGTTCCTTTTTCTTTGGTAACATAAGCCTTTATTGATTGTCCTTTATTCTTGGGAACATAATTTTCATTAAGTCTCCTTTATTTTTCAGTTTTGACCTTTTTGCATTCCTATTATATAAATGAAGGCTAACTTATACCCTTCCTTTGCATTTCATTTCTCCTCTAGCCGCAAGTTCTCTCCTTTCTCCAGCCTATAATTATTTTTTTGTTTTTCTAGGTTTTTGTTGTGATGGCTCCAGGCCCCTGCACGTATCTCTTCTGTTGCGGCCATGGTTGTGGCGTGCCGACGCACTTCGATTGTTCAGCTTGCTCGCAGGCCTGTCATGCTCGTCCTGGTGGGAAGGTATTGTGCCGAACTGGGCGAGCCGAGCAGCTTGCATATGGTACAGTATTCATGGAAGTATTGGATATGGGACAGATCAATGCTTCTGCGTTCTATTCTGCCCTGCTTCGCCATGGCCTTGGTTGCACGAGTCTTTTTGTCCATTAGCTTACGCCAACAGATGTGGAGACTCACTACAAGATGGTATGTTTCGTTAGATATGATTTTTTCTTTCTGTTTTTTATATAATTCCATTCTATTCTGAACTTTTAGTATTTTAGGAATGCACTTTTTTTGTTTTTTGAAGTGTACTGCAATGTGTTCTTATTTCTTGTTTTTATTTTTTTGCTTGTGTGCATGCAGCTTGTGTTTTAGTTTACATGGTTACAATACGTGAACTGCTTATATATTAGCTGAGCACAACATGTTTCCACATTTTTTCCCAATTTGTATGGTGTGTACTACATGTAGCTAGTCTCAAGTACTGCATGATAGTTCGAAGCGTACTGCATATTTGCAAGTTACGTAGCTGTTAGGTATCTCCGGCCAAGTTGTTCTTGGTAATGGATACCTTAAACCAGCCAAGTACAGTGTAGGCGTTGACGGGCGGCTGTGTCTGCAGAAAGGGTGGAAGGAATTTGTCATTGATAGTGGCCTGAAGTCTGAGCAAGTTGTTGTCCTCAACTTCTTTGAACTCGAGGATCGTACGGTTAGAATCATGTTTGACGTGATTGGCTAAGGTTATGAGGTTGATTTGTAATAAGTACTTTTGCGTGTCGAACGCTTCATCTTTTTGATGTGTTTTGTAATAAGCACTTTTGTTATCTGAACCGCTTCAATTATTATTCTGAACTTCGTGCTGCAAGTGAGCTAACAACATTTTTTACATGGTTTTTGAATCAAAATGTGTCAATGTTTTACTCTAGACTGCTATATATATGGTATACTCTATATACCATTTTCTCTTTACATGGTTTAGTTGAATAACTCATAGTCAATGGGAAATTTGTGTTTACACAAAATTTAAACTGATACATAAGTCATAGAGATAAGCAAACTGCTATGCATATGATTAATTTATTGAAGTTCATCTATTTGGCCGTTAACCTGCTGCTTCTACGCGGTGACTGGAGCGTGTCTAATGTCGCACTTTCTTTTGTTTTCCGTGGTGGTGTTGCTGGTTCTTGTCTCTGCACCTTTGTGTTTGTAGCCCCTCGCGTGCTGGTTGATGGCGGCTTTCATTTTTCAGCGCTGCGAACTGCATCCTTCTTTGCTCCCTGCATGCTGGTTGATGGCTGCTTTGGTTTTTCAGTGCTACAAACTGCATCCTTCTTTCATCCCCGCGTGCTGGTTGATGGCTGCTTTCGTTTTTCAGCGCTGCAAACTGCATCCTTCTTTGCTCCCCGTGTGCTGGTTGTTGGCTGCTTTTGTTTTCGAGTGCTGAGAACTGCATCCTTCTTTGATCCCCACGTGCTGGTTGATGGTGGTTTTCATTTTCCAGTGTTGTGAACTGCATCCTTCTTTGCTCCTACCTTGTTTTCTGAAAGTAGTGTTGTTCTCGGTTTTTTCTGTACAGCAGCATTCCCTTGGGGTGGTCTTGTTGGCATTGTTTCTTCATGTTCTTCGTCCTCTTCACTCTCTTCACTCTCTTCTTCCTCTTCATCATATTCATCATCTGTTTCTTCATAAGCCACTGTTTCTTCAGTTTCTTCACGTTATTCATCCTCTTCACTCTCTTCTTGTTCCTCCTCTTCTCCATCTGCTCTTCATAAGCCATTTCTTCTTCAGTTGTGTCACCATCTTCTTCTTTGATATCACCTTCTTCGTCTTCCTCATTTTCTGATCTTTTTCTTTTTCTTTTGGGGCAGGTTCTTGAATTGTGTCTCTTCCTCTTTTTGCAGATGCTACAACGTCTCGGTTTCGTCCATTTCTTAGTGTTGTGAGTGGAATTTCTGTTTGGTTGTGCATCGCCATGTCCTTGTGTTTCTTGTTCATCTCTTTTTTTACACGTCCTAGAATTGTGGCCGCTGATTTCATTACATGTTTTGCACATTCTTATTCCCAGTGGGTGACCATCACTATCCAGCTCAGGCTGTGGCTTACTGTTTTTGTCATCATTTTTCTCCTTGCATGCCACCTTTTTCTGGGTTGCGTCGCCCCCTTTCTTCCTTCCTCTTGTGTTTGAAACAGGAGGTGGAAGAATTGTTTCTTTTTTGATAGCACTAGTTCCATTGTGTTCAGTATTTTCTACTTGCTCGGCATTATTATCATGCTGGGATTACTCTACTTGCTTTAGTTTTGCTTCTTCTTCTTCTTCTTCTTTGTTGAGCACGTCAACTTCCTCCATCAGTGCCCTCATACCAGACAATGCTTTGTGGCACCCAGCGTCGGACCTTGTCGCTCTGTTTGCAAGGTCCATTGTTGTTTCTGTCAACAATTTTCTACGGCAAAAAAGCGAGGTTCCATCTGGTGCTATTTGTTCATAGTCTCTTCTGTCAAACATTGCATCTGATCTTGCGTTACAGGTGTATCTTTTCATGATGTACACCTCAGGAATCTTGAGTACTCTCAAATGAGAAAGCATGCATAACACATGGACGCAAAAGAGCCCTGCAGACAAACACATGACTTTTTTTTGTTTTGTAAGTGAACTGTATGAAATTAGTAAACACATATTTTTTTTGTTATTTGTTCATTTTTAAAGAAGTGAACTTCATTTGGTTTTGTGAATTACTCATGCATGTGGACTTTTAAAGTTCAGTAAGTGAGCTTTCGTCATGACTATCAGAATCTAGAATTTTTTTTGCTAGGAGTATCACTTGTGTGTGTCCAGAGTTTGCACTCACATTCGTAGACACCTTTCTCTTCATCGACGACCACTTGGAAATTATGCCTTGCCCAGTCAAATGCATCCGATCTGTTGTAGTGGTGTACAAGATACTTTGTCGGGTTCTCAGGGCACTGGTCTGCTCTGAATGCAGTGCTATGGTAGAGTGTTTCTTTGAAATCTG